GAAAGAGTCAATATATCGATGTCGCGCCCGCGAGGATAATCTCAATCGAACGCAAGAATGTCACTGATACTTGAATATTATGTAATTGGTCTTAAAAGGCAGAATAAATGAAATATACAGAATAGAGAGGGAAAGGCGTTTATCCTCACGTAAAAGCAAGTCCTCTGTAAGGATATATATGCATTGTCAAGAAACTTATAAAACTTGTAAATTTATGTGCGTTTGTGTTAGGGGAGATTTGAAAGACATTTATAAAGAAACAAAAACCATAAAAATTTGAATCTACATTTTAATCTCCCATCAATCAGTTCATCGTTTAGCAACCGCAAAGATGAGAAATCAATGTCAAATCTCGCTTTAGAACCGAAGAGATCGCAATAATATATAAAGATGGACGAGGAATGAATCAATAAGAAGAAGCAGATGGCATATCGCACCTTTCGGCGGATTGAGAACCGAGATCGTGGGATGCGCGAGAACGTGTATGCCGCGGGATTTCTCGATGAAGTCGGACCGGAGAATGGCAGCGCGAGCGAAAGAAGAAGAAGAGGTCATGGCGCGGAAAGCGCAGAGTGATTTCCCAGCTGACCTGTAAAGCAACCTCTCTTCTTTCGCCTCTCCAATGGGCTTTGTCTCACGGACTAGTAGTCCATGGCCGTTTCTTACCCTCTCCTTGTGTCCACGCGAAAAAGATGCATCGCCGTGAAAGCCGTGAACGGCAGAAAATAAAGCACAGGAAGAGAGAGAGAGAGAGGGGGAGGGCAGAGACGCGATAGCAAATTTACTGAGTCGAATTTTCTACCAGCTATTCCATTTTTTGCGCGCGAAGTAATTTTTAATAATTAATGAACCGTCAATTCTTAATAATTGAAGAATCAATTTTTTTCTTATGCTTTAAAACTCTGTCTATATCTTTGATATAACACAAATCTTAGATTTCCTATAATCTCACTATAATTCACAAAATAATAAATATATATTTATTAGTCTCTAGAATAAAACAATGATGGGTTCACGCGTTTTAAATCTAAAAAAAAGCGTGAGAATAGATATCTGACTAAAAGAAAAAAATAGATCTAATAATAAAGACAATTCGATCGTGCGCACTCACCGATGAGTGCACTGTTGACAGGCGAAACAGTCGAGATGATAGACGTTCGTCCTGGCCCTCATAACCATCTCGAATGCCGGTATTTGCTTATTACATGCCGCGCAGCATCCCGTGTTCCCGAAGAGCCTGAGGTAGTCCCTCTTACAGAGGATAAGATTAGCTTTGGTGTATAGGGTAGAGCCGACTTCTCCTAACCTACAGTCGCAGCATCCGCACTTGAGGCAGTCCTCGTGCCAGTAGAGATCCAGAGCCTTGAGGAGGTACCTGAAGAACCGACAATATTCACTGCAGCTTTCGTTCTTACCGGCCGTTAAGCCTTGGAAATTCCTCTTTTATCTCGATATCTAATATATATTTTCCGATAAAACACGGCTAATCGTCACTTTAATGATAAAAAAAGCTATATGTAGAAAGATCGATATTTATATCGACTACCTCCATTCGAATTTAAAACGAAATATTTATACCGTAGCAGAGTTATTAATAAAGTAAGAAAAATGGACGAGAATACTTTCTTTAAGAATGCAGGTTATATAAAGTGCCGACATTTACCTCTCCGTAATTGTTTTCCCGCAACCGGCGCACTCCTGCTGCGTCGAACCATTTTTATTCGTCTCGGATTTGCTCACGTCCATAGTCATCGTGATCTTGGCTACGGCGCCGTCTGAAACATTAAAAGTAAATCGAAACAGCGATAAAAAAAAGCAATATTTCACATATCTTTTTAATTTTGTTGCATAGAATTAAAAATATAATCATTAAATGTTTTAAATGCTTGAGAAATTTAAAAATAAAATCTTTAGTAGTCTAAAGTTATATTTGTGCGACGAGAAAATTATGACGCGACGTCATTTCGTAGCCCGAAATTTGATTTCCCGAGTTAATGAGGACCTCACCCGTACATTCAGTCCGTATCGTATACATCCGCGCGTGTTTATAAGGGGCAACTTCGCGGACGGCTGGCGTGCCGTGCACGCTGTGTCCCGCAGTTATAAGCGTCTCCGGCGTCGTAAGTGGCTGACAGCACGCAATAATTAGCGCAGCTAATTGGAACCGTCCCTTGTTCTCTTCCTCGCGCGTCCCAGACTCCAATAAGCAGCGACGCGCTGCGTCACGAGAACCGCCGGAATCTTTCGCGAGAGAAAAGGCTGCGTAAAATGTCCTTTTTTTTTATTTTTTTTTTCCCGTCTACTGATATTCGAAGCAGTGTCTTTCAATATTTAGATATTGAACGAAATTCTCACCGAAAATACATTTTTCTATAGCGCCAATTATCTTTAACTCTTCGTTAAATTTTGTTCCTAATTAAAAACAAAAACTTTCTACAAGCGTTGAACTATTTCTTTAAACTTTATTTATTGTGCCGTTTTTGGAAATCTTAGCAATTGAGTTTGTGTTTTTGTTCTTGTATAAACTCACATAAAATTTTTTTTGCTTTATTTTTCAAACATAAATTTGTTATTTATAAAATTGATAGCAATGATAAATTTTAATTCTTATATTTTCAGAGATCTCTCTTTCACTCTTTCTTTCTCCCATACGTGAAAGATGAAGATTTTACCGATTCATTTTCTTTCGAAAAAAAAAAAAAAAAAAAAAAAAAAAAAAAAATGGGGTTTTTAGAATATGGGGTAGCAAGGAAATTGCAGCGGGGGTAAGCATTCAAATGCAGACCCAACTGATCGCGCATTGTGCGACGTTGCGTAGCGGGTACAAAAAAAAAAAGAAAGAAAGAAATGTGGTTTATCGAATATACTACAGCGGTTCATTAAAGAACGTGTTAAAAATTATATCCGATTTAAATCGTTGGATTTGCGCGAGAATCATGAGCGAAAACGCGATCGGGAGAATGCATTTACGTTCTTACGAGACGATTCGCGTAACACTTCCCAGGTAAACATCGTGGACAGGGGTAATGGCAGGAGGGGGGAGAGTGAGAGAAGTGGGCCGCCACCGCCACCGCGCTGTTCGGAACGACGACGAGCGGGCGGGGGCTTAATTAATTAGCCGGATACTTTGAGTAACAATCCATTATTACATACAAACATCCTCGGCCTCGGGGCCGAGCTGCAGCTTTATGCTGCTAATTGGCCTTCTCAAAGCCGGGAGACCCGGGCACGAGTTATAAACGCCACTCCTTCCCTCCCTGACTCCTCTCGCGGCTCGCAGCCACCGTACCGCACACCGAGTCCTCTCCTCCGCCACCCTCTGCTTTCACTCCCGGTTCCAATTTTCTCTCTTGCTACTACCCGCTACCAATCCCCTTTTCTCTCCATCTCACCACTCCTTCTCTATCTCCCTATCTCGTTATCTCGCTCCATCCTTCTCCTCCCCTTCCTATCGTCGCATCACTTCACCCGCGTGCTCCGCAATACATGTAAAACGCATACAATCGCGCGGATATGTTCGCTCACGCGCGCTCGCATACATGCACTAAGACAAAATGGATGAGAGAGGTGTAGATGGGCAAGGGGGTGCGAGAGATATTGGACGGAAGGAAAGAGCGAACGAGAGATGAGGAAGAAAGAGAAAGGGTGATGCAGGCGGGAGGGAGGAAGGGAAGCTGGACGGATAGCGCTAATAACGCGCTCGTGACGCAAAAAAAAAGAAGTATAATTGCCAGCCCTCGTGGCAGGTATTTTTCAAATAGGACCCCGTCCGTTAATTGGAGGGCAAATTAAAGAGGCGCCGCCGAGGAAAAAAACATCATTCCCTCCTTTCCCCCCTTGTTCCCTCCCGCGGCGAGCCACCCACCCACGTCGGTATATCCAAGAGCCGCCTCGTGATTCGTCAAACGACTCGTACGCTCCGTTTTTGCTTGGTTCTAGTTTTTTTTAATGATTCTCCCTTATAGAATCCGATTCATATCGCGATAAAATAAAAAAAGAAAGAAATACACGCACGCATCGGTGCGACGTGCTCCGAAAAGATGTCTAACGATGACAATTTTCAAGCTCTTTTCTCGAGAGAAAACGCGGTATGCTAATTGTGCGATCAATAACAGATCGTTCGAGATGAATGTGATCGATGAAATAGTTCGTCCGATGAATTTACGACTGGGAAAAACTCGCGCTTTTGTTACGCGCGTTTTGCAAACATCATAGTTATGCATGTATCATATTTGATCGCGATGGTTGTGCAGAGATACGATGAAAAAAAAATGGATGTTACTTTACCCTTTTCATTGGCAAATAGTGGATATCGAAATTGCCGATACTCGCGAGCAAATTAAAACTTCAATATATGGATACCAAAATATCAAACAAAAATAGCCGGGAAAAATTAATCATTGGCGTTGGTGAAAAATTTCGAGCCTGTTACGATGCTGCGAAAATTCGCACATTGTATTCTGATAGAAATTATTCGTTTATCGCAATCGTAAGTTTATCTGATCCATTCAAAAGCAAACAATTTATATAAAAGAGAACATACAAAAGATTCAGTGAAATATTACGTTTAATGAGTGAAAATTAATTCTTTTTTTTTCGCTGTCGAAAGTGATAATAACTTATGCAACTCAGAAAGTTTTTTGGATCGAAATCGCTAAAAAATGAAATGCATTTAAAAACTCATGTAAAAATCTTGTATAAGAAAGCAGAAAGGTGGACTGTAATCCTTTTGCGGATGGTAGTATTTTATTAGGATACGCTTATAAAACAAAATTGCAAAGGGCGAATTTTGCTCAACACGATATATAGCGTTTTTTACTACTGTCAATCTTATGGAAATTAGACGTTTTATCATAGTGATATATCTGAATCTTCTCAAGAATTTTCAGAGATCTCTCGAAACGTGGCGGTTTCGTAATAAACGTATGCTGCACTGAGTATGAATATTGTTCAGTTATAATATAAGAGACACTGATAGTATTAATAACGTTAAAAATAAAAATCTTTCACATATTTATATTTATTAATATTTATATTATCGCGTGTAATATTATTGATATTCGTTGTTTCACATTTAAGAATATTATTAAAAATTAGTACCGCCGATTTTATTCCTCGACGAGAAAGTCTCGGAGAAATTTGATCGTTCGCTTCTGATGGAATATCACTCTCACGAGTCTCACGTCGCGTCGGTCGCGCTACGCTGTTCTCATATGCGAGATAACATAATCGTAAAATGGCAAACTGATTTCAAGCGTTATGGTTTTTCCGGAGTATGAAGCGCGCCAGCGAACGGTCAGCCCCCAAATACGGGGCAAACTACGGGGAAACTGGCGATATTCGATCGTCGAATCAGCAACGGATACGACTTTTTATTCGGTCAATATAAGGAGCACCCTTGCGAGATTACGAAATTGCCCTAACAGCAATATAAGAGAAATCCACCCCCGCGCCAAGCCGCCCTCCTCACGTTTCCCACCGTCCTTCCATCCCGAAGATCCCGTCGGAGCGGACAGGGCCGCTAGGTGGTTTAATAAAAATGTCAAATATAAAGTAGCCGGTGGGGACGGACGTTTAGGAAATAAATAAATGTAAAAGAAAGTCGAGAGAGAGAAGAGATCGGACGATATATGAAGGGAAGGGAAGAAGGGGGGAAGGGATGAAACCGTCTCAGAGGAGGAACGGGAGTAGTGGACTCGATATATTATTACGGTTAGAGGTCAGCGAGCGACGCATCCCCAGCTGACTCAAACTGCGAGAGCGACTGCACTCGCCGATTCAATCGCGAGCGTTTCTTGCGTCGGGATACTACCGTCGTATTGAAGATGCTCAATAAAATATGGTGCCTCGCCGTAGCGCAATAGCACAGCGGAATGGATGCATACAGAGAGGAATCCGTTTATTAATACTCCCGGATTGAAAAATCTTTTAAGACATGGAGGAAAGTGAGGGGGAGTTGAAGAAGAGGCACGATTGCAATTTCGGGGCTTGATAATGAGGCGCCCGCAGCCCGACGGTTCCCCTGATTGTGTCATTATAGTATGAAGTGGAGAGACTGCTAATTAGTCATTAGCGTAGAGAAAAAGACACCTTCAACCGACGCCGTTGCAACTACGAGACGGCGGGCAACCCTATCCGACGATGCTACTGACGTCGACGACGACGACGACGACGACGACGACGACGATGAGGGCGACGGTGGTAAGGATGGTGCACGGCAAACTTGCGCAAACAGGGTGTAGCTGCGCTGGCCTACGTCTAATTGGACCCTAGCGACGTAAGTTCCACTAATTGAGATCGGCCTGGTAACTATCAACACCGCTATACAAGGGTCCGTTCGTAAATTCTGAATGGACGAGCAGCGATAACGATACGGATATACTGCTCTTCGCTGATTGGGCGAACACGGGGAAACTGCGTCGCGGCGCTGCGAGCTACATAGTCGTCGTCTCGGATGAGAGATAATTACAAGTTGTAAATTTACTATATTACTATGGTTAATGAGGGCGCGCGTAATTAGAACGAGTACTTGTTCCGTGCGCTGCGCATTTCGAACTATGTAATGGTCGATTAATTAATAGTTCGCTCTGCGCGACTGGCCCTTGAATCATCATAACTGAATGCAACGCGATTTCTTTATACAAATATTATTATTATTATCAAACGAAATGGATTGTTTTAATTATCCTTCATTTTTCGGAGATCCGCAAATCGGGAAAATACGATGGCGTCAAAGGAGAGCACACCGAAATAAAGCCAAAAAGGCACAAGTCCG